TATCTTATCTTATCTTATCTTATCTTATCTTATCTTATCTTATCTTATCTTAATACAATAACTATTTAGGCAGTGGGGCTGCGCTATGTTAGGAAAACCTGCAATGTGTAATAACAGCGCTTAATATTGCGATGACGATATGACTTGTATAAACAAACAAATACAGTGTTACAGTGTTAATGTCTTGTTAATGTCTTTCTGCTCTGGGTTCAGAGCAAAAACAACAACAAAAGAAAAAASGAATCATTTTCATTCCAACATGATTTTTTTTTTTAATATGAAGAGATCCATCCAATTGGCCAAACACATGAAGGGCTCCATTTGATTGGTGAAATACTTCAAGCTTCGGTCTGAGTGTCAAAAAACATAAATGCAAACTTTTGATCCAACCWTTTATTGCAGTTTATGCATTTTTTTCAATATTCATATCTCACAGGCTGTTATCGCGATGATGATAAATTTTCTATATARTGTGCAGCCCTAATAGGCAGGGCACTCCACCATCAGCAGGCGAGGAGAGGAAAGTGTCTTGCCCAAGGACTCAACAACTGAGATGGGCGGAGAAGGGGGGGTTCAAACCAGCAACCCATTAGTTACAGGAGGACTCTCCTAGTGCTACTGTCGCCCCAGGTGAGGGAGTACAGTGGACACATAGGGGCCATGACCATCTGAGAGCTGTTTTGCTGCTCTGTTTTGTCTTCCCATGAAAAACGTTTGTTTATTAATTTATCAAAAAAAAAGTTCTGATTTGTTTATGTACTGTTGTGGCTGCATTGCAACACACATAAGGTAGAGGCCAAGCAAGACACAAGTGACAAGCTGTTGCTCAGTGGGACTAGTTGATTATTTAAGTGTGCTTCGCCCGGTCAGCCTAAGTTAGTGCCTTAAACTGACAGCATGCCCCTACAGCTGAATGTTCTGCTACTTCTTGACAGGAGTGGAGATTGTAGCCACAGGATGAGTGGCTTTGACCCAGCATTAGTAATGTAACGTAGCGCAGCGGTCCAGTATAACCTGTCTGAGAAGTGCCTCACCAAGGCCAGATATCTATGGGAAACACGAATAACGTAAACAAATATTTACAGAATAACACGTCCTGCAAGAAGGAATAGTGMTTTTTTTTTCTGTTCTCGGTGAAGGTGGTGGGCACGTTTCCCCTTCTCTTTTCAACCAGCCCTTATCTATCTGGCTTTGCTGCCTTTTTTTACAGCCTCTCTTGCATAAATTCTAAAATTTGAAATTATGGATCTGGTCAGCTGGTCTCTCAACGATACTGATCAAATTTTCTCCACAAGGAGACTGGGAAAAGGAGAGCCTTCTTGTCCTGACAGGACATATGCCACTGGGCATGCTGTGGATTCCTGGGAGAAGTGGAAGATAATGCACCTGTCTGTACTGTCGGTCGGGGGCGTCAAAGACACGTTTGGATTARTGATAGCAGACACCAGGATCTGGTGGATACCTGGCCTATCGTCTGTCTGATCTATGTAATGGAATAATGCGGAGCTGTCAACACTCAGACTCAGACACTTTTGGAGCAGAATCTCATGCTGGAGGCAATCCTTGCTAAGATCTCAGGCCTGCTGTGGTTCCAGAGCTCGCTGGTGGAATGGAATAGATCTTGGACACGTTGTAAGTTTGTTGAGGTGAAAAGAAAAAGAAAATTCAGATGATTGGAATTCGTCATTGAGAGGTCCAACAGAAACTTTAAGGTAGACAATAATCAACAGTGTCGGCCTGTACCAAAACAATTGTGATAATCTGAATCTGGCTCCCATATGTCGGCCTTGAAGGCTGGATATCTCAAACTCTCCTGGATGTTATGTAAACTGATGCTCTGCCCCCACCATCCCCTCTCCCACTCACATCTGTGGTGTTCTGATCTAGAACAATCAAGGTGGACCTGATGAACACTACATCACTATCAGGAACTATGGCTGGGTGGGGCTGTCAGGGACTGGTTTCACCGTCTTATTTCACAGATGCACACACCTACAAACACTCCACGGGTTCAGGTACACCCCTCCCTGAACTCCCAGTCTTCGCTGGCTATATAGTGCTCCATGCAGAGAAGTTTTTGCAACCTCACATTGTGTTCTTGCAGGGACACGGTATGAGATATATTTTTATCCCTCATCTACCCCCATGTTTGCTATTATTTTGTTTTCTAATACAAAGGCAGCACCTGTCCCCCACCCATGTACGTTGTTTGTGTTTTTGTCTCTGTTGGATGGGTTGTTCTGAAACTAAATTTCTTTGTGCTCTGTACAATGACAAAATGAATCTGAAAAAAATAGACAGTTTACCTTCAAGTGTAGCGTATCGTATAGGAGTAGTTTAAATGCAATATTCTCTGAAAGGGCATGTGGCAGTACACTGTATAACTTGTGAAATGTTGTAAAAAGGAGAGCAAAAGCTCGACAGACAAACACAGTATTTAAATGGAGCGCAGCGCACACAGCCCGTGTGGAGTTACAAACATTTGGAGGTGCACAACAGTCGGGGCCGGTGAGCATAGGTAGTGCCCACCCTTGGGCTGTGTTCAACATGTCAACTATAAATCTATCTTTCTGGTGTTTGTCACCCCAAGCCAAGGTAGCAGCTCAGGCTTTTGTGTAATTAGCTCAGGAGCTGTTGTGACATTAAATGAGTGAGCTGAAATGTGCTAAAATGAGCCATTCTGTGCCAAACGATGAACCGCTGAATTCTTTATTTACTAAAACCTCTGTAATTTGCTCTAGTTTACTTCAGCAGCATGAATTTTGGCACAGGTAATATCCATGAGTTTTTTGATTTTGGGGAGAGATGCACATTTTTTTTCCATTCCTTTCTCGTTTTCTGTGCAACAATAGCATCTGCTGTGATTCCAAGATGATTTCAATAGAGTTTAATGGCTGAATTTAAGTTGGGCATGCTATTTTGAGCACAAACATCAAAAAAAACCTCTTGGAGCTTCAGAAGTTAAATGTATGTTTTGAAGAAACCAGAGTACCCAGAGAAAACCCACGTGTAAGCAGCAGAACTTGCAAACCCCACTAGAAAGGTTGGGAGGTGAACCTGCAACCTTTTAGGGRGGTTGTTTAGTCTCCATAGAATGATTTATCCAGATTATTCTTGCAGAGACCTAGTAGAGTCCTGTGGATGGGTAAATGAGTGCACAGATTGTTGTAAAGTGCTTTGAGTGTCCWAGTTGGTTAGAAAGATGTTATATAAATACAGTCCTTATCTTTTTAATGTGAGATGGCAGCTCTAAACTTTGCTCTGCTGTGCAGCCCTCTTAAGGAGTTAACCGCTCTAAAATACTTAAATTTCTTTTTTCTGACCTGTTGCCAATTGATCTTATTAGTTGCAGAAAGCTCCTCTGGCTCAATTTATTTTAAACATTTGATGTTTACTGTGTTCTACAGTGAAAACATGATAGATTTATGAGATTTGCAAAGCTTTGCATTTTTTTTTTACTTATGTGCATTTTACACCAATTTCAATGTTTTAAAAATTTGGGTTGCACATTTTGATAGAAAAGAATGAAAATGTTCGTGATGATGAGTACACCTGGCCTACACTTTTATGGCTGTGCGTGAAAACCAGTAAGCTTTAGTAATTAAGATCACTGATTAAAATCAAACCCCTTTTACTTAACCAATCTATACTGTAGTCATGTTAAAGCTGCGATTTGCACACAAATCATGCAGTTAATTCTCCCATATTGCTCATGGTGACCATACAAACTTAGTGTCATTTGATTTAAAATACACATGCATCAGAGAATAAGATGCACTCTGCTTTAATAGCATACATACATACACGTCCACATGTTTAACGAATCCATCATGGGATTGTGTTGTGGATAAGGTTACTCAAAGTAGCACACATGGCTAAAAAGTTAAATCATAACAGGTTTATTTTCTTGTAAAAAAAAGTTTGCCAAATAAAAGCTATATTACGTGTTTGTGTGGTTTTTGTAGCACATTTTAAGCATCTGTTTAGAAGCCATTTCCATCTGGAAGCACAAGTATAACATCACCAAAGCAGTCCAGGTCAAACAACTTTTATTTGCCACTGAAACCTGATGCATGGCACTGGTCTCTGGGCGCGAGCAGCGTTTGCCGTGGGTTAGGATAAGGCAGAGGGCAGGCACTTCAGGCAGGGTGGGATTTAGGAGGCAGGCGAAGATCCTGCTCAGCTGGCTCCAGCTGCAGCAGGAGGCGCGGGAGGAGCTGGGGCAGGATCCGGATCGGGGCCGGGAGCAGGAGCAGGGTCTGGAACGATGAAGCAGCCCCTCTTGTGCCACTGCATGTCCCGCACACGTCGGACAGACTGGATCTGAGGAACGGGGGCCTCCCAGTCGTTCCAGTGCTTGAAATCCCCCCGTTCGAAGATGAACTGTCGACCCCGGTACCCTGGGTACATGTAGCCGACCCACCTGGAAGAACAAGAAGGCAGGTTTGTCCCAGAAAATCCTCTGTCTGTTTGAACGAAGGACTGTGTGCTAGGATTTAAAAAGAAACAAAGGAGGAGTCTTACGTTCCATTAAGAGCCTTCACACTTGCTACACGGTCCTGAAAACCATGGCCCCACAAACTTGGCACATCATCATCAACAATCTCCATCTTCCTGCCGGCGAACCCAGGGTTCTCATACAAGTGTAGCTTGTGTTCAGCACCGTCCTGAGGAGCAAAAACAGACGTGTGAATGCTTCAAGTTCTTCAGATTTCTCTCATTAATGTTAGCCAAGTAAATACTGACAAACCTCATGTATCTACTCATTTTTTCTTGCATCTGTACAACTGCAAGGGCCAAGTCACTCACCACTTTGAGTGGCCTCAAAGACAAGAGGGTGTAGCTGCGCTGACTATTGGTCCAGGTGTCCCAGCGTGGATATTCACCCTTCTCCAGAATAAACTGCTCCCCTGTGAATCCATGTCGGTCATGACCCACCCAGCTGGGATTAAAGAACAGAAAACAACAGTTTACTAAACACAGTAAAAGTCTTTTTCTAAGTCTGAACACAGACGTACTTACGGTCCTGACTCGACGATGACCGATCCGACCTTCTCCAGCCCCTTCTCCGTCACATCTTTACACTCTGCAGACAGCTCTGCCTTGGTGCCCTGGAAGTTTTCAAACTCAAACAGCACCACCTGGATAAGGAAGCACTTTATCAGCACTGTCCTGTATTTGTGCTGACAACACAAGCAGGGTGAAAGTGCTCAAATGCAATGACATGAATGCTTTAAGCATTCTTAAATGACACCAAGTCTTTCATTACTTTCCTTTACCAGCAGATGTAGCCTGAATAAACAGGAGAAAAAGAGTCAGTTATTCCTGATCTAACCAGGCGGTCATCTCCTAAACAGAAAGTTGACTGAGTACCTTAAACGTGGCTCCAGCTCCACCCTGGCTCTTCCCTGCAGCCAGCTGGTCTGGGGCACTCTGCTGTTTAGACATCCTCCTGATTCACTGCTCCTCCACTTACTGACAGCATCACAGTTAAAACACCATGTACACATGGGCAAATACAGAAAAAAAGTAAAACGCAATGTCAAATTTCCCCCACGATTGTACAGATAATTCACTTGAGGTGGGACTTATTTTCCAGCACAGGAGGTCATAAAACCCCTTTTATAAATCCCTATGTGCCCAGACTGAAGTGTTTTTCTTTCTTTCTTTCTTTTACCTGAATATGCCTGCTAGAAAGTGGTGGCGTCCCTCTCTTTTCTAGCACCACTTGGGAGTTTGGTGGGGTTGAGCCATTAGCGGGCAGAGCCGGGGGGGTATTTATGGTTTATTTCTGGCCACAACAGCAGAAAAGGAGGAGCTGTTGATACAGCAAGTCTGTCGCTCACATTGTGTCTGTAACGCTGCCTCTCAATAGGCAGCTGTGTTGGCACACGCTGCCCTGCCCGTCCGCCTGGCTGCCAGTGAGCACTGTGTGCGGGCACATGGAGAGAGAGCCAAGAGGATTCAGCAAACAGGCCTGCTCAGCACAAACACACACACACTGATTGTCGAGCCACACCCAGTTTCAACCTCACAACTGTTTCCCACACATTTTCAATAAACTCGACACACTTCGGAGGGCAGAGATTTCAAAATAATCTGTTCAATCCTACGAGAAGTTCCACCTCTGCAGAGGAAAAGACAACCTGGAAATTATAACTCAAGTCAGGTAGATTTTATTAAGAATTTATACACTTTAGGACACTGGCCAGTACAACACAGTGCAATACACATTGCTACTTCCAAAAAAAAAGGACAAATATGAACAGAAAATATAAACCCTCAGATTTCATGATCAGAAAGAGTCACACACGTAGAAAACAAAGGATATTCGTTTTTAAGCCTCCAACATTCACTGTGCTTGCACTGAGTGAGACAAGCCGTTCAAACAGGAAACATGGCCAACGGGAGGGGGCAGAGGTCAGTGCTGTAGTGCATCAAGTGACAAAGTGCTTGGTAGAAGTGTGAGCGCGGGGTAAACACCAGGGAAGAGGTTTAAAAGAAGGTAGTGAACTGGTTTAGTAGTGAAATAAACCCCGCCCTCCATTGGAGTAGTGTGAGCCGACACCCTGACCCACTTGCAGCCCGTCGGGAGAGAGAAACGCCTGATGTGACAGGGGCAGATTGTGCATGCACATGTAGTGGTGAGGAAAATAAACATTGCACATTCATTGGGAAGACGTCGTCAGAACATGATCAAGGATAAGAGAGCGAGTACACGAGACGTATGGCTTTCCTTGGATCGTTCAGTCTCTTAACGAAGGGAAGACAGGCCGAGTGTTTGTGCTGATTTGTTTTGTGCATGATTGACAGATGCAGTTATTTGTCCAAAAGCCCCCTCCTCTAGTCCCTCATACAGACAAAATATTATAATATATATTGTAACACAGTTAGGCTGAGGAGTGTATCAAAGTAAAAAGCCAAGGAGCCTCTGTTGTAGTGATGCATCTTACAGTTTTCTGTCTTCAAAACTATCTCTCTGTTAAATCAAAGGTACAAATATAACATTTGACTATAGGTATTAACAAAGTAACATATTCCCACAGACAGTTCAAGCCAGGGCTTGATTTGTTCTCTCTCTCTCAAAAAAGTTATTTAGTGTCTGAAATGTTATCAATGGCAATGTTTGTGTGACTCTGATCAACAGCCGCCACAGACAGCACACACACAGCTGAAGCTAACTCGCAGATATTAGCTGAGACGACATACAGACAATCCTGTAACTGGATCTCCCTCCAGCGTCCGGTGAAGCATATCAAGGCATCATGGTCCCATGTTAAACATCTAAAGTGTGGTCTGACGATTGACTTTTTTTTTTCTACCCCCATTTTTAAAAAATGTTTCTCCAGGTCCTCGTTAAGTTTATTGACGTAAAAAGTCCCTCCAGGTGCAGCAGATTTTCCACATGTTCGATCATGAAATGGATGGAGCAGAGCAAGCATGACGGTGGTTTTTGTCCTCGCTTGTTTTATATTTTCCATAAGATGGAGATTCTCCGTTAGGAAAAAACAAAGGCACCATGCACATTTATCGACCCAGAAAGTGGAGAGAAAAAACAAAACAAAACAAACAATAACAAAAAAAAAAAATACTAATGAAAAAAATATATTCAGCAGCTGTAGATCCACTCTCTTCTAATGACTGAGTCACTTGTTAAGGCCTCTGTTTCATACAGGTTCATCTGTTAAGGCAACCTTCAGAGAAGAAGAAGATGATGATGAGCCTTGACTATGTTTGATTGTTGAGTTTTAGAAGAAGACATTAAAAACATCAACAAGTATTTTACCTCATTTAGGTTTCACTTTCATATTGACTCAAGCGTTTCTTGGATTTTAGCTCCTTCAACCACTGTGGCGAGTCCTCCTCGCTGCAAAAGATTAACACCATAAACAAAGGCACAGCTGCACAGYTAAACATGTTGAAACGTTTTGTAAACAAAGACACCAAGGAGCCGGTGCTGCTTGCCTGTTTTCCTTCATGCCAGGCGGGGGCAGCACACGCGCTGCTCGGGGGAGGAATGGAGACTTGGGAGAGCGAGATACTGAAGGAGAGGGTCCGTTAGTCTGATTGTCAGAGTCACTCCTCTTCTTCAGCTGGGCCTGATGAAAGTGGGACATGTTTATAGCTGGCGTGGCAAAGCCTCAGAACAAGCTAATCAATCTGGTGAGGAAGGTTTTCTGCAGAGCTGCCGGCCCACCTTTAAAGCTGAAGGGTCTACGCCAGGAAACAGGGCCACCCTCTGTGGCTGCGAGGCGACAGCAGGGCCAGCCTCGGCTCCTCTGGTCTTCTCCTCAGACTCTGAGTCGTRGTCGTCTTTACACTCAGCCTTTGTTTCTGTCCAGGGGACAGAACAGATTCACAGGTTCAACTCAWAATATCAGATTTTTAAACAGATTTTAAAGTTTTATTGGTACCCATGTACAAACATTTACATTATAGTGCATGTACACAGTAAACAAAAGATGGGATAGCGGAACAGAAAAATACAATTTTAAACTATACTACACAGTTTATTTTTGTGAAACCACATTCTGATTTAAAGTAAAATATAAAAAAGTGTTTGCTTTAAGGCTTGTGTAACCTGTAGCACATTAGTTACAATACTTTTTTATTTAGACAGAATATGATTACTTGGTATGAGGTTCACAAAGTATTTTGTAATAAAAAAAATATATATAATCATGCATCTGTGCAAACTTCATGAGTCACCATTCAGTTTTTTATATTTGTTTAAGGAGACAGAAATTGGAAGTAAAGAAAAAAGAAAAAAAAGGCTGGTTTAAAACTTATGCACAGATATTTATGTTTAGACTTTCTATAATAAATCTGAAAAAACACTGGTTTTCTCAAAATAAAAAGCTTAAATGAGTCAGTTTTTCCACTTTTAGAGAAAATGTTTTTTAGTTGTAGAAAATAAATGACATTTTGAAACTATTTTTTTTTCCATAGATATTGAGAGTTGGAAAATATTAAAAGCAACATTTCGACCTGTACATATTTTTAAAGATCAAGTAGGAATCCTGTAAATTGTAACAAGAAATTATTATCACAGCAAAACCTTTTCTTCCTGATTTTCACTGCCACAAACTACAAGTTTTTAGAGTTCAAACATAAAAACTAATACATTTTCTGTCAAATAACTGCTGCATACCTGATAAATAAAATGATTAAAGCTGCAAGTTCAGTCCTAGCAATTATTAAAAATTAACCGAGTATCACCGGCTGATGGTGGCCTTTAGTACTAAAATATTTTTTTTATAAACATGTTTTGAGGACAGGGTGTTGGGATCAGATAAAATACAAAATAGGGCATTCTGTTTTAACACATCAAAACAAAATACTAATTCTGAGGGATGAATGTTAGTATATTTGTTTAATTAACACAACTCGATTCTGTAACTATAAAAACAGAAGTTTTCAGACAGTCGTTACCTGTTGAGTCTTTGTAAATCCAGTCCTCGGAGGTTCCTCTGTCCTCCTGAGTCTGGACCACGCTCAGACGAGCCGCCTTGGACGGCCGTGTCCGCGGAGCTCGTTTCTTCCCCAGCTGGGCTCTGGAGCGCAGAACACTGTTGTCTAACAAAGCTGTGGGAGCCTGAATATCCAGGCACAGAAAAAAAAAGACACAATTAGGACCAGTTGTGTTTGTGGAGTCATATTACACATCAGAGCAGACAGCTAAAGGCTCAGGTGACACTTGTTCAAAAAAAAACTGAGCTGAGGTTTACACTTACGTCAGGGAAAGGCTGAGTGTCAGACGAGGACACAGGAGGGACACCGTCCAGGGTGTCAGTGTCCAGCTGGGTGGTGGGGTCACCTGGTGAATGGAGTGGAGTGGGCTTCCTTGGGGAGGGGCTGAGATTGCTGTCTGAACTAGGAGTAGCGGGGGTCAGGCTAAAACAGAATTGTTAAAAAAAAAAACAAGTTTAAGCAACAAATCATTTCATAAAAAATATCTGAGCGACCACAAAATCTAATTCTGCTTCTAAGACACTCCCACTTCAGCACGTCTTCACAACAATGTTTCATGCTGTTTAAAGCTTTCATTAGAGCGCTGTAGGAGGGTAGCCTCCTCGGCAGAAAAAATACATTCCCTCCATGAAGGTATTTTTTTTAAAGGACTGTACTGAGAAGTAGCATTATAAGCTCAACAGACGTGTAGGCCCGCCAGGTGTTTGCTTTGTTGTTGCTGCTAGTTTGGCGGAGCTGTGTGGGGGAGTAGTGGTCCTCTGTGAGGCCGAACATGACTGAGGATTGAGCTCCAGGGAGGAGCTTTGGGTCAGCAAGTGTTTAGACAGCTCCACARGGCCACAGGAGATTCAAGGGTTTCTCAAACATGCATTAATGAGTCAAAGCAACACTCTGAGTATGTTTTTGACGAGGGAATGACATTTTAACATGAAATAAAGCTCAAAAAAGTCGATTTTTTTAAAAACCACCTCTTTGTCACTGTAAACTGAAAACCACCCCCGAGGCCGACTCTGTCTACTTTTAAGATTAGGCTCAATTCTTTCCCTTGTGATAAATCCTGAGTTYTRCCTTAGTTCTCCTGCTATATAGACCGCTGAAAGACAAACTGACCATGTTTCTTCTCTGATGCTGTCTTTACTCAATTCACTCTTCATGACTGTATTTGTAATTATTTTAGTAATGTGTTAGTTTTTTTCCTGTCTCCCCAAAGAAAGTKCACCTGGACCAGACATTTTGTATTTGTCTGTATTATTGCTTCTTGTCCTCTCTTCACCCTGAAGCTTAGATCAGCTGGAYGTTTCTTCCTCTTATAAGTGAGTTTTTCTTCCCACTGTCTCCTACGCTGCTTAGGGTGGAAGGTTGCAACAAAGTGGAGATTTGGCTTTTTTCTTTAGGTAACTTTTATTGACAGCCTTTTTATAGGGTAGGTGAATGTTTTTGTACAGTGACCTGAGACAACATCTGTTGTGAATAGGTGCTATTTAAATAAAATTAATTAAAGAAAATGAATWAAAAATGAACAGTAAATTATATATTATATTGTAATGTAAATGCACATTATATTGAATTTTTACCCTCACGTGTAAACAAATCAGAACAACGGTCCCTTCTTATGATTGTGTATTTGTTATTGTAATACCCTCATCTGACCAGAAGAGGTCAGTAAATGATTGGGAGGGCTTTTTGTCCTTTTTACTTTGTGCCAAGATTCACTGAAGAATTACAAATCAGTAAAAAAAAAAAAAACTATCTAAAGGAAATTTAAAATTATTTATAGTACATCAAAAATATTAAAGAAATGATTAAGGTGGACTGATGACATTTTAAAGCATAATGGTGAAACCATGTCTGAAGTGAACAACCATGGAGACTAACATCAGCTGCTGAGACAAACTGCACCCCTCCATCATCATTAGGATCAGGAGCATCATTTATTTGCTGTAATTTAAACCAGGCTGCTGCTGCAGCCAGAAACAAAACAGGAACAGGTAGTTTGTGCAGCTTGGCAGCTATAAAATAACAGCATATTGAAGTCTATGTATGTTTTTTTCCMGGTAACTGTGAATATTTTAACAAGGCAGAACTGTTGTTTTAAATAAAGAGAGTGTGAGAAACTAACACACTCTACAAAGCTAAGCTACCTGTGTGTGTTTAAGTAAACTGCATGAAGTCCAAATCTGTCTCCTGCTAAAACTAACGATACGCAACAAAAAGAATCAGATGACTGAATCATCAAGAAGTTAATATTCTTCACCAAAAGCATAGAAAGACTTTCCTTTCAACACTGCAACAGTTACAATCCTCAGATCACAACTGATCAGGAAGAGTTATTAAAAGGAAGGGTGATGCAACAGAAGTGTAAACACACATATTATAAACATGTGTGCTCAAATCCAAGAAATGTTTGCACTTTTTTAATATAACAGTCAGTCAGTGAGAACAGAAGTGATACTTTATTTTGTATTTGTGTTTGTTAGATACTACATTTACCAAATTATAAATGTGCATTTTAGATAACTTTGCAGCTCTCATGAAATTAGTTTTGGATCAGTTAGCAGTGCCTGTAACTGAGTGGAAGTGATTTTTGGACAGCAACAATAGTGAAGGAGCACCAAGTTGAACTAAGTTACACACTGTGTAATTTATATTCACCTGTCGTCAGAGCGCAGGCCCGTCTCCCAAGTCCCATACTGACTGTCTGTGTCACGAACAGGTGTTCCAGAGTCCTTCTCCGTCTCTTCACCACTTTGGTTCTGCTGCACCTGGAGGCAACAAGATGGCAGAAGAGAGAGGATTTAAGGACTGATGCATTGGAGTCATGTTCCACTCTACAGGTTTAAAAACGTTTCCTCACAGCTCCTGGAAAACACGTTGCASTGTGCTGCAGCCACTTGTGGGCAGTCTCTGAAAAATGTGACTCACTCAGGTGCAGATGACTTTTACTTGTGTTGTAGCTTTTCTTTACTATAAAAACAGTCAAAGTAGACAAGAACTGATTGTTGTGACAGAAAAATAAGCTTTAAAAATTAAGTTTCTTCTAAGTTTTTTAACCCATAAATGACCCTTTAATGTTTCATTCTCTGTTGAGGGAACGTAGTCTTCATGTCGCATCAGTTTATGCTTTACTAAATTTAAACTATCAGAACTTAGGCTTTAGGCAGGATCTTCTCTGAAAGTTGTGTGCTGCTTGCCTTTTGGAGGAAAACATCCATTATCTGCCCTGGTTGAATATTCTCAACCACTCATGCTGCAGAGGGTGAAATCAGTGCAAAGCTTCATTGCTGTGCAACCATTCTAGCAGGTCTATTTAGTAGAAATACTAAGAAGGAGGCTGATGTGTGAATGATGTGACAGGTAATAATCCAACCCAGCTTTGACTGACGCCTGTGACCTATTCATATTTTCAGTGCTAAGCCAAGCTCAAAATCCCGTTTATCCAACACAAAAAGCAACAACAGGGTGATGTGAAGTAAAAGACATTAGGTGCTTATTGAATGTCACCAAATATACTGAAAGTTCTGCAGAAGAAGCAGCAGGTGAGCTTTACCAGGTAACAGCAACAGGACAGATAAAGGTAAAAGGAAGCATTAATGGAGACAGGATCAGAGTGGGGACAAAGACAGAGACGGGAGGGTGAGTGATTGTGTGTTTGCTGCCTACTGAACCATGCCTCTTTTAATGAAGCTGGCACAGAGAACATACTGTCTCAAAAACCAAACAGGGCTCAGAGAGCCACGCCCACACACAAACCGATAAACCTGGTCTAGATTAAGAAAGAAAAGAAACAATAGAAAATCCTCCTGTTCTCAGTGATGCCTGAGGGAAAGGTGATACACCTGTAAGTGCCCGGGCTCCTTGACCATGAGAACTGTTTACTGTTGATGTTTATGCAAAGCACTGATTGCAGATCAGTGTGCTCATATTCTGAAAGCCTCATGAATGCATTCCCTGTTTTCATTGTCTGCACATGAGCAAAGATACAAGACTGCTGCAAACCAAGTGCAAGAGAGACAATTAAGTAAAACTAATCTGAAAGATTTCCAGAGAGTTTGATCAGTGCAGGATGTTATTAATCAGTGAACCCTTTCCTGACAGGAAAGGATAAAACTCAGAWCAGTCAACAAACTTGACTTTTTTCTGTGAAAACACTTCAGCTCATTTTTTTAAAAAGTTTACAGCACTCACACTTTTCAACCTGACATCCAATTATCACTCTCCTTAAACACGAAATACACCAACTTCACACCTCAGATCCAGTTTTCTGTGGAGTCAGGAACAGGTTTATTTAGGAAAGCAGCAGTCTAGAGTTTCTGTCACCAATCCACTTTATTTCCAACCTATTTTATGCTATTATGTAATCCACCCCTTTTCTACATGTTGCTATTTGCTGCTTTCACTGTTGGCAAATGAATTAACAAGAGCTTATAAACTCTGCTGATAAAAATTCCAATCCTGTGTGTGTGTTTGTGTGTAATGCTCAGCCCAAACGCACCCAGAAACACACCTGTACCCGATCAGTTCAGTGAAGGAACACTGCCTCTGCAGGAACATGTTACAGAGAGAAGCTTTTATAAAGCAGCTCCCTCATACTTTCTATTGAACAGTGAAAGATTATGAGCGAGCTTAGCCATCTGACAAGTACATAAAACCTTTTAGATGTTTACGGCTGTGTATAATCGACCTCAAACAACGCAAATGTGGTAGGAGGAGGAAGTCGACTGAACCGACAGGTCCGGTAACAATGACTTATAACTGTGCAGACGAAAGCTTTTCACTAATAACATTAGCAATAGTCTACTTCCCCTGGACAGGAAGGGTGTGTCAAGGAAAACAACATAACAAAGAGTGGATGAATGGAAGGATGAAGGACAGAAAGGCCTGATCACTAAGGTCTGGCTGGCTATCTGCAGAGAAAAAGGCAGGAATGAGGTCTTGGAAAGTTTGTTTTGATAATTCACTGACACAAGGAACTGAGGAAACAAAGTTGTCTGCTTAAAAATGGGAAGCTGTCTGCTTTCAAGCACCTTAAAGGTGATGGGAGACTAGAAATTAAAGCAGAAAGTGACCAACAAACATAAATAATTCCACTTCCATTCATGCCAGAGTATTAAACTGAGATGATCTTATTGAGCATAGACAGAATTACAGCTGTTTTGGTCAAACCTTGACAATGACATTATGTGAGATCTTATGAGATGTGTTACTGCTCTATGTCATGGGGATAACAATCAGCTACTCCACACAAAATTTACCTCAAGATTGGTACAAACTACTGCACTAGAGACATTTTTATGAGAGCTAATGCCAATTGGGTGCGGCAGCCATCTTAAATAGGGTTGATTCCAAATGTCAACGAGTTTTGGGTGTTAAGAGAAAAGGCTCCCTGGTTGATAAAAAATATCTCCCACCACATATTCAAAGTCTATTTGTTTTCATCTTTAAAACGAAAAGGGAGAAATTATCTTCAGAGTTCAACTAAAATCCTTATAGTGATATTTTGCTACCAGACAAACAGAGTTGACTAACATTTAATGAGTTTAACACATTGRACATTGTTACTAAACACTACTGCATTATGTGTTGGGGTAACTCTTAGCTGCTTTACCAAATATTAGCTCAGAATTAGAAAAACTGACCGAATTAAAGTAATTTTTGTATTTCAAAGAATCGGTTGGCTGTGGTGTCCATTGTTATTTGGGTTCACTCCAAAATGTATTCAGTTGTAGATGTAGACCTAAAATATGATGTCATTAATATCCACAAACATGTCAGTTTGTACGGATTGTCTGTAAATTACACGGATTTTCCTCCGTTTTGCAGGTATAAGGATGAATAGGGCAATCTCACAGATTTTTTCAAAAACTCAGTTTCAAATGTTTTGCACATCTCAGAGCCTGTAGGATGTAACCCCGCCCCAATAAATAAAAATAAATAACCAACTCCCAACTAGGCCTGTCACGATAAACAATAAATCAATTAATCGTACAATAAATTTAATTTAATTAAAATAAGAACGATAAATTTTCATTTGCATGCTTGTTTTCTTCATGTCTCCTTCGTTTCTACTCCTTAGCGTAGAGAGGAGTGAACTCTGGCATCAGGTATTTGCCAGTTGCATGGTCTTGTCACAGCTGGTGCTCAGCTCAGGATGCCCTCAGGGCACCGTGCCAAACCTTGGGATTGCCAACTGTTGTTTTTTCTTTCTTTTTACACTATGTAATTTTTAATGTAAAATTCTGTAAATGGTGGGGTTATATCATTATATTAATTTAAACTGGTCTCCAAACAATATGTTTATCGCAATAATTTCTGAAACAATTTATCGTCCAGTAAAATTTGTTATCATGACAGGCKTACTCCCAACTTGCTATGCCACCAGAAATAGGCTATGCCTTCCCTGCTCCTCTGCGCTGCAGGRYCTGTTATCTCTGCCCCACGTTCTGTCTTTCCCCACGGCCYACAGTCCGCTTTCACCCCCACCCCCTGCGTTTTGAGTAATACAGATTTTCTGTAAAAATTACAGATTTTGGAGGGTCAAGAAACAGCTAAACATCAGAAGTTGACATGTCTGTCTCCAGCCTGTGTTTCATGAGACATTTTGCTAACAGACAATAATGACTCTAATAATTATTGGCTAAATTTTAAAAACAGATTTCTTTCGATCAGTTATCACTTGCATGTATTAGGGGTGATTTTCAGCTATTACCACACCAAATTTAACCTCTACATCTGAAAATTGGCAGAGTCATCATCGTTTGGGCCATCTTGAATGGGATGCGCCTGTTCAAAACTATTACACCACCTTTTTTTGTTGGTGAAAGGTAATAAAATAAATGCAGCACAAGAGCTTCAAGCTCTTTACCGAGTTTATCTCGTCATTGGTGAATGTGAGCGTATCACAGGATTATTATTAGCACAGCTTAGTATCAAGAGCACTGCACTGAATCAGAGCTTGTAAAATATAAACATCTCTCACAAAGTGTTTATATATACTGTGGCTGAGACATGTGCTTCATCAGATTACAGAAAATTTGATCCGCTGTGACTGTGATGCTATTAAAGCACATTCAGTCACATCACTGTACTTGCAGTATGCCGTCACTCTATTATGTACATCTCTGCTTAAATCTGAGCTCTGACTCAGGCTTCATGCTCTATGTACACCACAGTAACCAATAACTTTTTCTACARGCATTCAACCCAACCGCTCCTTTGAACACCTAATCTGATGTCAACAAATGGACATTCTAGATGGATGACAGAAGAGTTGCATTAAGATGCATTCTGTTGGGCAAACCCAGCAGTGTTGTGTACAGAAAGAACAACTGAGGTGGATACAGACATGGCCTCAGTGTTGTTCAAAGTATCCAGTGAGAAAGGTCTAAGTCTGTAAGTCGTCTAAAATTTTTACAGAGTGTCAGGACCTTTATGTGCGCACAACCTGACCAAAAATATTACTTTCAGTTTGGGGTTTGTTTCCTGGGTTTTTGCCAAAAGAAAGTGTTTAAGAAATGTTTGTCACCTAATAGCCGAGTTGATTTACCTTATTAAAAAAAGAAAAAGAAAAAATAACAGTGCAGGCAGATGTTCAAAGATAGCTTAAATAATAGCTGATGCACCAAATTACCTCTCATCATTATGCATTTGATGTATTTTTTGTAGTGCTCTCATAATCCTGACTCTTCACTTTTTACTTGTCATTCAGCAACGCRGCTCCCCTAAAACTAAACCTACAGCTCCAACAGGCTTAACATGACAGTGC